AGGGTCCGTCTCTGGGGGTGGGGGGAATAAAGCGACTGTGTTGCTTTGTGTGGCATAGCACGGGTTTCTATTAAAGAGTAATGTACACCTTAAAATATTATTAGAGGTCACTTGTTAAGCTTTGACCTTACTACCCACTAATAGCTGGCTGTACCATCTGTATTTAAGACTCATATACACATGAGGCCTATTTTGTGAAATCTCACACAGACTCAATTTATAAACTATTGCTCAGTAAATAGAAGGGCTATGTTCTCATCGATATTTCTTCCGACCCCATAAAGTGTGCAGGAAGCATGTTCACAAGCAGTCAGACGTGTTTCTAGCAATGTGCATGAAAGTCAAAACCAGAAACTATTTTTACACATCCCCTCCTCCCCTCCACATTGAATTAGTTTCCTTTGTTGGAACTGTCACTTTGTTATATAATCTGCAAAATTACATACACAGGCTTCACCACAGCCATTGTCCTAGCTCCCAAGCCAACAGCTAAATACTCATGTGAACTGAACTGAGAAAGGATTTAGGATTCTATCCAGCCACTTTTGTGATGCATTAAGGCTAGGTTCACACCTGCACTGCACGACACCCAGGACGCGCGTCCTGGGATTGCACGGTCCTTTACAATGCAGGCAGCGATTGCTGCGTGGCCCCATTGATTTCAATGGGGTGACATCCGCACGGAAAATCGCAGGAAAAAAAGAAAAAAAGGTACAAGTACCTTTTTTGGGGATACACGATGCACGGCTGTTTTAGCGACGATCGTGTTCAGAAGTACGCGCGGAATCCGCCCTGACCACTGAAACATCACATTCTCAAACAATTCATCCCCACACAGCTACCTCCTCATGTATCACTCCCCCCTCCCTTTTAGATTGTAAGCCCTCACAGGCAGGGCCCTACTTGCCATCTTGTCTTGAATTGTATTGTGGTTGTAATGTCTTCCTTATAATGTAAAGCTCTGTGCAAACTGTTGGCGCTATATAAATCCTGTATAATAATAATAATAATAATAATAATAATGTGTCAGAGTTCTGGGTGGATGAACCCTTTATATCATCCACCACAAGAGGTGTTGCTATGAAATGAGCAAGTGCCACTGATGGCCCAGGTAATATACAGGGGTACAGACTGCACAATATCCACTTCCACTGGATAAAATATTCCTTACAGAGTACATATCAAGCTTACTCTGCTGTTAGAAGCGTCTAATGAGTAGACGCTTCATTGCTCTGCAGAATTCTGGCTGTGTTGGCTTTGAGCACCAGGAATGGATCAGCATTGACAAGGGCAGCAAGTGCAGAGAAAACAGCATTCCTGCCTTGTATGGACAGCTCCAGCCTGGAGACTGGACAGACCATGAATGATGTCAAAGCCTCTATAAATCAAAGCATCCAGGGATTTGTAGTGTGGCTCTTTCCACATCCTAATTGTATCCTTAAATAAATGGATTTTTTAATGTCCATTAGCACTTAAAGCAAAAGTAAAGCTTTTTTTCCTCAAAATAAAAAGGGTCCCTTGAACTAGGAGCCATGTCATCCTAGTATGTACCGCCTAGTAGTGCATTATGGCAGACTTACCTGACAAACCGATCCCCTCCAGCGCTGTGCTCCTCCCTCTGGGCTTTGAGTCTTCAGCCAATTGACCGGCTGGGTCCCGTTGATGTAATGCCTGAGCATACACATAGGGGTTATTTATTCTAGGCATGCCGGGCCTGCTCATGGAATGCGTGGAAAACATGCATCGCACTTGCGGTGCCATTACATGTTAATGTCACCACAAACGCAGCCAGGAAAAATGCATTTTTTTCCACACGTGGGCACATGTTGAACTGCACACGGGGAAAAAATGTGGTACATATGTAGCAGAATCGGCTACATGAGCTACTATCAGCTACTACATACCATTTGTCGCATGTGTGGTACCCATTGAAGTCAATAGCTGAACTGCAGCAAATGTGGGGGGGAAACGCACGTGAACATGCATGAAATTTAAAATGAATGTTAAATGCACTCATCAATTCAGAACTAGCTTTAAAGCAAGGTGCATATGGAAGGGCTTTACACAGTACAAAGACAAACCTTACCAGCCCACTCACAAGCCAGCAAAAAAAAAGTACGCTAACTACTAAAGGTTAAAAACAGAGGTTTTAGTTGCACAACTTTTGCAAAATATGTGGAAGCCGCACTGCCTGGTCAAGGCCCCTCTGTGTAGTGCGGTCCTAACTCTAATCTATCTCCATCCTGGAGCATATATAAGAAAGGGTGAATAGGGTGCAGGTTTGCCAGGAGGTAGCCCAAATATAGAGAAGTATAGAGAACATATTTCCTTTTTATGAAAACAGAGAATTCAGCTAACAACCAGTCTTAATGGCCTAGAGCCACCAAACTATGGCCACGTACAGCAAACCATCTTACGCATTTTTCGTCTTGCATTAACCCTTTCGCTAAATGAAACTGGAAGCGACGATCTCATATTTTCTGAGCGGTCATCCCTCAGCAAGAGAAGCCGGGGAAGAAGTTGATCAAGCACAATCTGTGCTTGATCAGCGTCAATGGGCTGCAAGGTGACATAGGTCCAATAGACCTTTTAAAGAGAACCTGCCACCACTAATATGCTTTCATATC